CAGAACCAACCTTTTGTACTGTAAATAAATGCGTAGTATTTCGCATCCAATAATTTACAAAAAAGATGCATCCACTAAACCGTAAAGTCTTATACCACGTTGTCTACGTACGTAGTACTATCGGTATAAGATTCATGGTTTTAATGCACCAAACCCCCCTGTGATTTGGAAATTCGACGCATTAGCCCCTGTGATTTAAAAAATGCGTCAAACACCCTTGTGTTTTAATTAATCATGCACAGAACCCCCTTTATGAATAAATTTAACGATTTGAAAATCACTTTTCCTAATATTTTGATTGAATATGCAAATAAATATGTCAAAATCTCTGAATCATACAAAAATGCTAATCATTTTTCTTTTATTTGACAATTGAATTTGTTCACATAAGGGATTTGGCGCATGATTAATTAAAACACAGGGGGGTTTGACGCTTTTTTTAAATCACAGGGGGCTAATGCGCCGAATTTCCAAATCACAGGGGGGTTTGGTGCATTAAACCCGATTTGGTTTGGTAGAATGGTAACAGTAATTTGGAAAATTGAATAAAGTGACTGTCTCACAAAAAAAATTGAAGTTTCATTTCAATCAGAAGCAAGTTAAAAATAGTTTACTGTGATTATTTTGATGATATGCAAAATAAGCCAATTACATTTACAAAAAATGTTCATCAAATTGACTTTTCTTGATCAATGACATTCAATTTTGACCAATGACATACATATCCTATATTTGTTTGCCCACCTACAATGTACGAAGTATATGGTATTTTTTTCTCTCCAATATACGAGTATATAAATGAAAAAAATCCATAACTTTCGTTTATTCTTGATAGGCGTATTTAGTCAAAGTAAGAGAATACCTAATTTAATACAAATGAGTATTGACATGTTTTGGTGTTCCTTCACTATCAGTCAAAAACTGTATGCATGTGTAGAGTATCTTACCTACAAAACTCCAACTCAGTAAGACAGTTGTTGGTAGGGATTCCAATGGGCTTGGCTAAGAGTTCACTCCCCTGCCATCTCGTCTTCATGTTTAAAAAATTCTCCCACCCCATCCCATCCTTAGGTAATCATGGCCCCACCCAGCCCTACTCCCCGTTACTCCTGGTCTCGCCCGATCGCCCCCTCATCATTATTTCCCGCGAGTCCCCATAGATACTTGTGTGAGTTTTTTATGTTGTAACATATTATTTCAAACCACTACAAAATAGTGATTTGAAATAGTGCTTGTGTAAGTATACCCTATTACTATCCAAATGGGTAAAATAACCAATAATGTGTGCAAGTGTTTGTGATATGCGTTAGATACTATTTAATGTGAACATGTTCTCCTCACAACAATTCCTGAATAGCCACTACTAATTGTTTCGCTATAAGTTTGTGGATTATTAGATCACACATTCTAATTAATAGCCGTTTTTTGTAACTTATTTTTGTGAATAGAGTTATGCATGTTACATGGTGGATTGCACAAAAGAGATGCTTCAAACATTGGAAAATGCAACGAAAACGGGTCAAACCGAGTTCGAGATTGAAAGCTACATGACTCGGCTCGCCGCCGATATCATATCCCGGACGGAATTCGGCAGCAGCTATGAGAAGGGAAAGAGGATTTTCCATTTGCTAACCATTTTACAACGCCTTTCAGCACAATCTACCCGCCACTTGTGCTTTCCTGGTAGCCGGTAATCAATCCTTCTCTATTGTCTCTTCATTCGTTTTCGCCAACTTGTTTTCGCATCTGTTATAGGATCAAATCAACCGAATAATGCTCATTTTAATTAATGGTGTACTACAGAGTACATAAAACAGCATAGCTTTAAACAGGCCCCCCTTTAAGGAATTTGTTTGATTTTTATGCATGTGTTTGAATTGCTACCCACATATAGTCACATATGAATTAAATCAGTCATCTGCTACATTTTATTGGTGTAGCTGATTTCTAAAATTCATTTTAAATGAGACAATGACTTAGGCCGAGGGAATGGTTGAATCAAAAGTTGAGAATGACGCATTGTTTGATTGTTTCCAATTAGATAGATGTTTAATTTAGTCCTAATTCAGGAGGTTTGATTCAACTTATTAAGAACTATGTTGCACGGAAACGTCCACAAATGTAATAGATGTGAACAGGGGCGGAGCCAGAGAAATGTCTAAGGAGGGTTGGAGATGAATTATATACAGTATCAAAGTGATGGATAATAAATATACTATACTTGAATTAAATGTTTCATGAGTAGCTGAGATAAATGGTAGTTTAATGAGAATTTTTCGACTAATGTATTGATATATATGTAATATATCATAATGTTCACACAACTAATGACTGTATAAGATGTTTTATTTTTAAATTTAAGAATATAATCAACGACACACATCAAATTTTGCTTATTTCAAGTTAAGATGGTTCTGATTTTTTCAAAAGTCATAACTTTTTACTCGTAATGAGTTACGAGACTCATAATATATCAAACCGAAGGTATTTCAAAGCTCTACATTCTTGAACTTTCAGCGGGGTCCTGACCACCCTGACCCTCCCTTGGCTCCGCCCCTGGATGTGAACATCATTTTCAAATAAATCAGTTTTCATAGAATTTCTGAAACGTAATTAGTTTACTTCGGGAATTTACCTGTTGTATAGACTAAGAAAATAAGAGTTTGTTTAGCATGTTCAATGTGTAGCATACTTTTAGGAGATCTTTTTTGGTTTTAATCAAATAGGCTATATATTTTATTTACACAAATATGTGTCATTAGTTTCAGCGTAGACTAAAACTCTCTGGTTCAATCATTTCTAGTTCAAGTCCAATTTGGTGTAATATGCTCTAATATATAAAAAAAAATCAAATGAAAACATCTATCTCAAACATCATTTCCATGACGTGGAGAGATAATTTGCACTAGATCAAAAGTCATATGTAATGTATTTGAACGAATTGAAGTGTATAGACAAAGAACAAAGTTATGATTATATCATCATTTGTATCATTTGTGGTCTCGAATTTCACTCCATATGGGTTTTACATACATGAATATATAGTAGAAGAAAAATTACATTTCTTTCCTCCCGAAATTGAAAATTACGTCTACATTATTATTTCCAACCGGCATGATGGTACCTTGGTCTCTAGAAATAGATTATTCGTTCACTAAGGATTGAGTGTCCCCAATTCATGCAACTTAAGTTGTCCGAAAGTGGTAGCCCGCAAGAGGCGCAGCTTTGTCAATTCTTCCCGTCTAGACCCAACTCCAACCAATCCGGCTCCACCCGTATACCCTCACTCATCCTCATTCACGAATCTGGCTCCACTGTGTTCAATTTTTTTATGAAAAGAATAAATTTCATAATGTGACAATCTTTTAAGGAGAAAGTAAATGTGATAGGTGAGTTAGGACCAATAAAATATTGACTTATGTAAAGATGACGACTGTAAGTCATAAGAGAGATGATTAATAATTGATCATGTGACAAAACCTAAAACGGTCACTATAAATCTAGTAATTTTCTAGATATTACTAAGAGCATCTCTAATGTAAAAATGTTGAAAGTGTATATGCATGATGGGATAAATAGAGATGTGTGATAAATTAAAGTCATTTCTCTCTCTTTTAAGTTAAAAGTGTGAGTTTTTCAGTTAGTTTTTATTGCTAATGTAAACACAATGTCAACATTAACACTTTTGCATTATGGAGATATCGAATATAAACAGTATATATCGAGAGATTATTCACTATTATGGTCTCATAATTCTTGATTGTGTTTGTTATTAAGTTAACTCTGTAACTTTATTTATATACATATTCCATCTAGTAAATTATAACTAGCAAATACGAGTATTATTTATACTCATATTAAGACTTTTCAATCAAAAGGTACACCTTCCGAAAAAAGCACACCAAAAAAGACACCATCACTAACATTTTTCCACTGAAAAGGGTACTTTGCCAAAGAAAAATGCTTGTGAACAAGTTTATTAGTCTCAGAACCATATCTACAAATGAATAAATTTAAGCATTTAAAGCGGACTCATGTAATGATCGTATACTTCCGTCTCCGGCTCAGGTCTTTCTACACACTCTCACACACCACTTTAGGGGAGGCTTTGCACAACTCTAAGTTTTTATCTCAACCACTAAGTCCCTCTCAGTTCTCACACAAAGGGAAAGAGAAGGAGAGCACTGCTCTCAATAGAAGTGTTTCTCGCAGGCTGCTCAACAAAGGGAGAAGGCACAAGCTTCATATAGAAGGCTGGCAGAGGTCACGGGTGATATCAAGACAAGAAGTCACGGGTGAAGCAAAACAGGAGGCCTCACGGGTTACCAAGACAAGTAATGCAGCAGACAGGAAAGGATGGGCCAGCCAAGTGGGAAAGTCAGACCACTCAAATAGGTATACTTTATTGATCAGATAAAATACCAAGGTAGAGATACCAAAGTGGGAGTAAAACAATAGGGTGCAAGCCTCAGCAAATAAAGTGGAAGGGAGGCCTTGGTAGGACCAATACCTCCAACATTCTCCACCTTATTGGTCCTAGCTATACTAGAAAAATGGTCTACAGTGACACTAAATTAGTGTCACTAAAATTTTTAGTGACACTTAAAAAGTGTCAACGAATGGTGGGAGTTGCGACACTAAAATTAGTGTCACGGAAAAAGTGTCAGTAAATGATGACACTACGGTATCACAAGATTTAACGATACATTTCTGTTGACATATTTAACGATACATTTACGTCATATGGATTATTGATAGTCTAGTATTACAAACGTTACTGATATTTTTGCGCCATCAAGATTCTGTGACACTTTGGTGTTTTAAATAATAATGACACGCTGCTATCATTTTTTTTTTGATATTACAGTATCATGTATTGAACAAGTTTTATAAGCTAGGGTTCAAAATCATATTTGAAACCATCATATCCACCTAAAATTATGATATTCAAGCTTATCAAACTAAAATCAAATTCATAACTACTCAATGTCTCAATGTATCTCATAACTAAGATTTAGATTGATATCAAAGTCAACATGAAACTTCAAAGACATTTAACTTGTTCTTCAAAGCAAAATCCAAAATACCAATATTCTAAAACTCCGGTCTACATAAGGCTGCAAACACAAAGTAGTATTTACATACATTCTGGAAAAACATAAAGTATATTCCGCAACATCAAAAAATTATGCTTTGCACATTTGTTTAACAGCCATATTATGCAAAAGTCCAACTGCCACCATTCATCACATTCGTCACTGCTGAAGTCTGTAAAAACAATGATAACAATCATATTAGTATCAATCCTAATTGTTGAAAATTACATTTTTAGCACACTTATTTCAAGGAGTACAAATTTAACTTACTCTTTGATTAGGTTTGCTGCATATGAGATCCATTCCTCACGCACTTGCAAAATGTCATCTTCAGAGTACTCATTGACTGTGGAGAACTAAAACAACACCAAAATACAAACTTTATATTTCCTTCACAAAACACTACCAAAACCAATAATTAAGCATAAACAAACTGAAGCACTAAAACCATTTTGAGTACCACTCAAGCATCTCAATAAGGTGTCCTTAAAGGACCGAAACAAAAGAATTGAGAGCTACAAAGTACAAACTCTCCCCTCAAAGGTAAATAAAATTTAACAGAAGATTTGACAGGTTATTCAATTCTCATGTTGACTGGTTTGCTAAAGCAATTTATTACCCAACTGGTTTGCAAAAAAAAAAATTATTCTCATGTCTTCTTTCATCTAACTTAACCTTAATTGTATTTCAGATCATTAACAAACATTATGCATTGTCTTAGAAAAGTTAAACATGCCCAAACTATACTAGTCAAACTAAACTTACTACCTAACATTAATAATACACCAACACCTAAAATTGAAATCTTTGGACGCCTATGAATCAGTAATACACCAACACCATACACTCCATACCAATCATTACTAAAGTGAAATAAAAGGTTCTACAACACTTCATTGAATGTCAACATACAAACACAGATCAGTGTACTTAAACCTCGTTTGTACTTCAAATCATTAACAAACATAATGCATTGTCTTAGAAAAGTTAAACATGTCCAAACTATGCTAATCAAACTAAACTTACTGCCCAATATTAATAACACAGCAACACCCAGAATTTAAATCTCTGAACGCCTATGCATCAGTAATACACCAATACCATACAATCCATACCAAGCATTACTAAAGTCAAATGAAATGTTCTGCAACACTTCATTGAAATGTCAACAAACAAAAACACACTACCAGTGTACTAATGAACATGATTAAATGATTAATTTGACTCACATTATTTTTCAGCACATCAACATCACCGATAATTTCTTTGATGTACTTCATCACGAAGTACCCACACTCCAATGATCCTCTTTGCTTCGGACACTACACACATTTAAATTTGGACAAGGTTGTGACAAGACTCATCATCGCCGGGTCACCCGGAATATCAACAGACACAACGGGCAAACACTTTATTAGGCAACCCACAGTTATCCACAGTCAAAGTTTAACACGCGTTTACAGGACAAGTGCTTCTCAGCAGAAAGACACTTGGTACCCATATCCGCAGGGTTAAACTCGGACGGGATCTTGCACAGCTTGACTCCACCTGCATCAACAATATCACGTATGAAATGGAACCTAACATCAATATGCTTAGTTCTATCATGAAATACAGGATTTTTGCAAAGTTGGATAGCCGATTGGCTATCCGAGAAAATGGTAACTCCCTTTTTGAGAAACCCAATTTCGGAGACAAGGCGTTTGAGCCAGATGGCTTCCTTAAACGCTTCTGTGGCTGCAACATACTCGGACTCAGTGGTAGAAAGGGCCACAATAGGCTGTAGTTGAGACTTCCAACTAATGCAAGAGCCACACAAAGTAAAAACATAAGAAGTGGTCGACTTCCTGTTATCTCTATCATTTGCATAGTTAGAATCAACATAACCAATCAATTCAATACCACTAGCACACTTAGAGAAAATTAATCCATGCTTCACAGTAGAAATCAGATATCTAAGCAACCACTTAAGAGCATTCCAATGAGGCAAACCAGGGTTGGACATATATCTACTCAAGCAACTAACCGCATATGCAATATCAGGTCTAGTGCTAACCATAAGATACATCACCGACCCTATTGCGCTGGAATAAGGCACAAATTTCATTTTCTCAATTTCAGGAGCAGTCTTGGGAGACTGGTCCTTACTTAACACAAAGTGAGATGCCATAGGGACATTAACAGGAGAAGCAGATAACATATTAAATTTACTCAAAACTTTTTCTATGTAAGAAATCTGATTCAAAGTAAGAGTACGCTTACTCCTATCCCTAACAATGTTTATGCCTAGGATCCTCTTGGCATCACCTAGGTCTTTCATGGCAAAATTCGCACAAAGACATTTCTGCACATCTTTAATAGCATTCAGAGAAGGACTAATTATCAGCATGTCATCCACATAGAGTAACAAAAATACAGGCACAGAAGAAGTATTTTTGAAATACAGGCAATGATCACAAACAGATTTCTGGAACTTCAAAGATATCATGCATTTATCAAATTTGATGTTCCACTGCCTAGGGGATTGCTTCAGGCCATACAAAGCCTTCCTAAGCAAACAGACATGCTCACTTCTCTTGGGATCCACAAAGCCCTCAGGCTGGGTCATATAAATTGTTTTATCCAATTCACCATGCAAAAATGCAGTAGTTACATCCATCTGTTTCATTTCCCAGTCATGGTGAGCAACTAAAGCAAGCATCATACGAATAGTGGTGAATTTAACAACAGGAGCAAAGATTTCTGCATAATCTACCCCCTCTTTTTGAGTAAACCCCTTCGCAACCAACCTAGCCTTAAACCTAACATCACTAGGTTCTTCCTTAACCTTAAACAACCACTTACACTCAACTACCGAACAGTTGGGGGGTCTAGGTACAAGGGTCCAAGTCTGGTTCACTCTCAAAGAGTCCATCTCACTTTTCATGGCACTAATCCATTTCTGAGACTCTTTGGAACCTAAGGCTTCACGGTAGGTCTTGGGTTCATTCAGCTCTAGGGATTCAAACACAGAAAATGCAAACATTGAAGTATCATGCACAATGAAAGCATAATCAGGCATACTATCAGCAGTTCTCCTGATAGCCCTTCTACTCCTATCTCTAGCAAGTTGATAATCATGCAAATTATCACTACTAGGCTCCACATGCAACTCATGCAAATTATTGTTATCATGAAAATCAGATTCAGCACCCATATCATGCAAATCATGCTCAGTATCATGCAAATGCTCCACCTCACTCGAGGTGGTGGGACTAACATGCTCAGAGGAATCAGAATCATGCATAACAATATCATCAGAAATAACAGGATCAACAGATAAAGGACTAGCAGCAACAGGGACAGACTCCACCTCACTAGGAGTACTATCAGACCTAGACTCAGGATTAGAAGCAGACTCGGTCAAGCAAGGAAAATCAGTTTCATTAAACACCACATTTCTGCTAAGGACCACTTTAAAGCCTACCTGGTTCCTATCCCATAACCTGTAACCCTTTACCCCCTCTGGATAACCTAGGAAGACACATTTCTTAGACCTAGGATCCAACTTGTCCCCCTGTTGGTGTGCATACGCTGCACAACCAAACACCCGAAGGTTAGACAGATCAAGAGGCTTACCGGTAAAGACGGTTTCAGGACACTTACCACCAAGGGGGACAGACGGGGACCTATTAACCAAATAGGCAGCAGTAGTGACTGCTTCACCCCAGAATTTCTTAGACAACCCAGAGGTAGCTAACATGCTTCTAACCTTATCCAATAGAGACCTATTCATTCTCTCTGCTATCCCATTCTGTTGGGGAGTATAAGGCACAGTTTTGTGCCTTTTTATCCCACAATCCACACACAACTTATCCATCTCCTTATTACAGAACTCTAACCCATTATCGGTCCTAAGGGTCTTAACCTTCCTGCCAGTTTGGTTTTCAACTAGGGTTTTCCACTCCCTAAACCTCACAAACACGTCAGACTTGTGTTCTAAAAGGCAAACCCACACCTTCCTAGAGAAATCATCAATGATAGAAAGGAAATATTTCCTACCCCCGTGGGTAGGAACACTGGCAGGACCCCAAACATCGGCATGAACATATTCAAGTACAGACGAACACTTAGACAGATTAGGGTAAGAGGAAGGAGGGAAGCTGACTCTATGCTGCTTGCCTAACACACATGATTCACAGAAAGGCACAGAAGTCACAGAGTCCTTACCAAAATAACCAGCCCTACGCATGACATCTAAACCCTTATTGCTCATATGTCCTAGCCTATTATGCCACAAAGAGGTCTTATCAGAACATACAACATTCATAGATTCAGTAAAAGGTTTAGCATGACACACATAAAGGTTATTCACCTTCTCAGCTTTAAACAAAACAAGCGAGTTTTTCAGGATTTTCATACAACCATTCCCCCATTTTCCCTGTAACCCACTACTCTCCAAAGCAGCAACAGATAACAAGTTATGACACAAATCAGGGACATGCCTCACATTCTTAATGGTAAACACCGAGCCACAAGAAAACTTCAGACATATATCACCAACACCAAGCACATTGCATCTCTTATTATCAGCTAAGGAAACGTAGCCACTATCACACAATTCATAAGTAGAAAACAAATCTCTAAAGGGGGACATGTGATAGGTACAACCAGAGTCAATCAACCATTCATGCTCAGACAGGGAATTTCTCACAGAATTAACATGGTCACAAACCATCAAGATATCACCAAGGTCACATTTATCAACAGCTACACTAGCATGCTCGGTCTTCTTAGGGTGGGGGCAATCCTTAATGAAATGGCCAGTGTTACCACAATTGTAACACACTCTCTTCCTAGATTTGCTCCTCTTCCTCCCAGGCTGACTAGCGTTCTTACCCTGACTATTTTGCTTAGGATTCTTAGACCTACCCTTAGATCTACCCCTAACAAACATAGCCTCACCGGAGTCCCTGGACTGACTAGCACTACCCCTAGCATGCTTCAGGTCTAATTCCTTACTCCTTAACCCATTCACCACAATGTCTAATGAAATCTCATCCCTACCGTACTTAATAGCGGACTTAACATCATTATAAGAGTCGGGAATGGCATTAAGTAATACTATGGGAGTGTAATCATCTATGTGTTTATCACCTGCCTGTTTGATATTCTGTATCAGTTTATTAAACACATCCAGGTTCTCATCTATATCCTTAGTCAGGTCAAGCCTAAACCTAAAGAATTTCTCTAGTAAGAACAACTTCCCGGGCAAAGAGGTATCAGTATAGAGACTATCCAATTTCTCCCACAACTCCTTAGCAGACTCAAGAATACCTACTTTCCTAAGCACAGAATCAGACAGATTCAAGTAAATAGTAGAACAAGCAGTTTCGTTCATTTCAATTTGCTTAGCCTTATCTTCTGATTCTAGGAAAATACCAGTGACAGCTCTGAAAACTTTTTGCTGTATTAAAACACACTTAATTTTCTGTTTCCAAATATCAAAATCTGTTTTTCCATTAAATGGAAGCATACCATACTGATTTGCAGCCATGGTATCAACCACAAAGGAACACAAAGCTAAACAGATAGAAATGACAGAAAATAATCCAACCCAGGTTATAAAGTATTCACTTTAATAACCCCGGGCAGCATGCAACACATAGCAAAAAAATGGACATTTTGGCAATTAAACAATTCCGGGCAGAAAATTTAAAAATTAATTAATTTTACCCCTACCACCCAATAAACCACCCCTACGCAATAACAATTAAATTAAATAACACTTAGTAATTTAATTAATTAGCTAAAACAATCAACCACAAAAGGAGAGGGTTTAGTACGTACCTGGGGGGTTGGCGGCCGGGATTAAATCAACCGGCGGCCCGCGGGGAGGGGGAATAAATTAAATTAAATTAAATTAAAGACGGAATATAAAAAATGGGAAGTTTACAGAAAACTTACCTTCGCGAAACCCTAGGAGAGCGTTTCGACCTTACCTACCCAAATTTTAAAAAAATTTGGGATTTTTCTGAGAAGTTGACTGACTGTTGACCGGCGTTGACTGCCGTTGACCGGCGTTGACCGTCGTTGACCGGCAGTCCAGCAGCTCCAGCCCAACAGTCCACGTCCAAGCAATCCAGTAGCTTCAGCCCGGCACTCCAACTCCCAGCTCCCAGCTCCAGTCAGCCCACAAGCCCAATAGCCCAGAGCCTCAACAGACTGCTCCAGCAGTCCAAGTCAGCATCGGTCCAGCAGCTCCTTTAGTAAGAAAGCATCTGGCCAAAGTAGCGTTTCTTCTACGCGAGAGAACGAAGACCTCTGCTTCAGCGACCAACTGCAAACGGAGATGAGCAGCTCCCAGGCGGCGATTCCAGACGAATGGATGGCGGAGGATAGGAGCTTCCCGGCGACGGCGGCTCCTACTGAGAATTCCGGCAACGAGCTTCCACGGTCGGCGAGTCCCTCCGGTGAAGGCCAAAAAACTCCGGCGGCGATTTCTAGGTGAGGAAGAACAGTGAACTTCGGCGCAGCACAGAAATCGACTGTCAATTTCTAGCTTGAAGGGTCTGGTGAGTCACGAGCAGTCCTCCAAAGACTCCAATCGACGGCAGCGACCTCGAACGGCGGCGGCGTACGGCGGCGGCGTACGGCGGCGGCGTACGGCGGCAGACGGCGGTTCCAGGCTCTGATACCACTGTAATGATCGTATACTTCCGTCTCCGGCTCAGGTCTTTCTACACACTCTCACACACCACTTTAGGGGAGGCTTTGCACAACTCTAAGTTTTTATCTCAACCACTAAGTCCCTCTCAGTTCTCACACAAAGGGAAAGAGAAGGAGAGCACTGCTCTCAATAGAAGTGTTTCTCGCAGGCTGCTCAACAAAGGGAGAAGGCACAAGCTTCATATAGAAGGCTGGCAGAGGTCACGGGTGATATCAAGACAAGAAGTCACGGGTGAAGCAAAACAGGAGGCCTCACGGGTTACCAAGACAAGTAATGCAGCAGACAGGAAAGGATGGGCCAGCCAAGTGGGAAAGTCAGACCACTCAAATAGGTATACTTTATTGATCAGATAAAATACCAAGGTAGAGATACCAAAGTGGGAGTAAAACAATAGGGTGCAAGCCTCAGCAAATAAAGTGGAAGGGAGGCCTTGGTAAGACCAATACCTCCAACAACTCAATTATAAATTACATCATTCAATCAATAATTTTCTCTATTAAAACCTATCATGATGGGAAAGAAAGTAAAACATTTTTCCCGATGCTTATTTACAAATTTTCGCTTGTTCCAAATTAACACAGCTCGAGATCAATATATATGATTCATATACTTTGTTCATGAATAAGAACGATACGATTTTCATTTTCCTAACTTAATGTGTACCCTATCAAAGTGCATTCTACTTAAAATATAAGGAGAATGAAAAAACCTACGGTGTGTTGGTGAACTTACACGATACTTAAGCAATTCAAGTACTCGGTTATC